CCTCAAGGTTCGTCCATGTTGTTGCAAATAACAGTATTTCCTCCTTTTTAAAGGTTGAATATATTCCATTGTGTATATATACCACATTTTCTTTATCCATTCATCTGTTGGTGGACACTTAGGTCAGTTCCATACTGTGAATAATGCTGCAGTGCAAATATTTTGTCAATATACTGGTTTTATTTCTTTTGGATATATATTCAGTGGTGGGATTGTTGGATCATATGGTAGTTCTATTTTTAGATTTTGAGGAACCTCCATACATATTTATATAATGGCTGTACAAGTTTACATTCCCACTACCAATTTGTAAGGGTTGCCTTTTCTCCACATCCTCACCCAACATGTGCTATCTTTGTCTTTTTGACAATAGCCATTCTAAACAAGTATGACATGATAGTTCATTATAGTTTTGATTCCTGGTGATTATCAATGTTGAGCATCTTTTCATGCACCTGTTGGCTGTTTGTATGTTTTTTGTTTTGTTTTGGTTTTTTTGTTTTTGTTCTTTTTGTTGTAGAAATGTCTGTTCATATCCTTTAGGAAAGGCTGGTTTCTTTGTGGTGCCTCTATACATTAGTACCAGGAGATGTACATCCTTCTTTCTTCTTTTCATTAGGCCTGTGGTATAGTAGAATTTGTCAACTTCTTACAAACCTGGCCCTTGATTCCCTTCTCTAAAGAGAGATTTTTGTGAATGACTGGAAATAGAATTTGAATTTTCTGACTACATAGGAGTTTGCTGGCTTCCTGAAACCAAATCCTGAAGTGACTGAAGAACTTGAAGATTTATGTTATATATGTATGTATAGTGAACTCACTTTCAGAACAATATTTTAGCTTATTTATGATTTTTGGTCGTAGGGGTAAGAGAAATCTTTTGATTCAAGGCCCTGTAGTCGCCATGGTTATGATTATGTTTATGGTTACCATGGAAAAAATTTTGTAAATTTTTTCCCCCCAGATTTGGTATTCTTAAAGAAAAGACTGGAAAAAACTCTTTGAAATATTTTTATTTTTGTGTAGAAAAACACAGAAAAATATGTCGTGACTTTTCTGAAAACCCTATATAACCGTGAACAAATGCTTTCTGCTTTCTGGAGCCAAGATTGCCAAAGCTTGGTCAATTTTTCTGCAGATACAAATATGTACATACCTAAAACTATTATAGAATTCTTTTAAAGGTTCTTCCTGCTCAGATGATTTTGAAATTAAAACACTAATTTATAAACATTCCCTAGGCACATCAACAATGGAGAGTCTGACAAAATGGTTTTATTAATTTGAGAACAAAGAATGTACTGGAACATGCTTTTGTTGAAGAATCTTGGAGAATTATGATGTACTTTGACACACTTTCAGCTGACAAAGTTGTGTGAGGTCTGATTTCATTTGTCATACTACAGACTTCGGTGAGCATTTTTGGCACAAGTCACTGAGTAAAATCACATTGTATGTGTTGCCATGTCAGCCTTAAAATCATCCTTGAAATAAAGCATCTGGAGCCCGCAGGTAGTATGGAGGTTAAGGCAGCTGTATTCCACATGGCTGACTGCACGGTTTGAGTCCCATACCCAGCAGCTTATAAAACACACAGAGTGCATGTGTGTACATGTTTGCCTGCCTAAAATCCAAGAGGAGAGGAGACTGGAGAAGAAATTACAGTATGACCATCCCTGCAGGGGGTGATTTCTTACTCCTCCCCTGCTCCAGTGAGTGAATGCACCATATATATAAACTTAAACCATATGTGTGTTTGTGTGTTTGTGTGTGTATACACATACATACATATAAAGAAAAGTACAAAACTTATTGAAACTTATATTTTAGCAAAATTTAAATTTAATTTTTGTTGTATTTTCAGTTTGACTGTGTTCTCATTAGAGAGTGGTATAATTTTTTTTTTTTGAGAGATTTTGGCTATAGGGCATGCGTGCTGGCCAGAGAGACAGAGAGATATAAAGTGAGAAATCACTCCCTGAGGGAACAGCCATGCTGCTATCCCCTCTCCTCCATTTTTGTCTCAGGATTTTTGGCATTCACTCACACGTACACAGCATGAGTTTCAAGCTACCAGGTCTGGGACTAGAACCATGGTCAGCCATGTGGGGGTCCAGCGCCTTAACTGCCATTCCTCCTTCCACACCAAGAGGTCTATTTTTTTTTATTTGTAAAACCATGCCACTTTAACATTTTTGTACAAATTAATAAATCTTTTTTTTGAG